CTCTCCTGGGAGCCTGCTTTGATGGACTGGGAAGGGAGAGGTCATTTAAGAGCAATAAGAAATATCCTGTAGCTAGTTCTTAAATAGCAAGCAAAAAGAAACAATGAGAGAGGCAAGGGCACACAATAAGATATTCAGCTAAAGCATTTGTCCAATCTTGACCAAGTTCCAGGAGTGGGTTACACCCACCTGCCTACATTTATAGGGAGAATTCAGAAAACTCAGAAAAATGGCAAGATGCCATTCTTTTGGGAGAGTGTCTTCAAGCCTTTTCCTCCCATTGACATGTATTGGAAAGGTTATTACAAAATGGCCAGAAGGAGAGCAGATTGATGGGCTCCATTTGGGGTGCTTTAATTATGGCATTAAAGGTGCATAATAATGCTGCCTTTGGATTTCTTTTGGCCTCCCCCCACTGTCCCAAAACAAACCTGACTCCTTCCAAAACTGCCATCAAATTACAATTTTTTTATGTGCAAAAAAAGAGAGGGAAAAACTGCATTGGAAGCAGTCGTAATGAATGTTCTAATGTAATCTGTTTAACTGGAATACTACTTTTAGGTATTCAAATACCTCACCCCCTTGTTGCCTATTTCTTGGAACAGGTCAGGTAATGCTCCATTGCCTTTAGTGTGAAAAAAAACACCACACACCCATTTAAAAAATTAATATATGGGATGTATGTGTTGCTTTGCTTGATGCACTGTATATAAGGTTTTCCTCCTTCCCATTTATCCCCACTACAACCCTGCAAAGTAGATTTGGGGGAGAGAAACAAAGGAATCTCTCCAGTATTAGCTCAACACTCTTTCTGTTCCTACTATCACAACATTCTGAATGCTTGCCAGTTACGCTTGGTCACTCAATCTATATTCCCCCAATCCCATGCCATCTGGATCATATTCAGAGCCCTTTGCTGGAAGTGCAGAAAAGCATGCACTGTTTCTATTTTTTTAAAAAAATAGGGCTGCTTTAAGGGGGCAGAGTATGAACTGAGGTTGGACAACAGTAGGGCTTACCATCTCCTCAGAAACATCTGGTTAAAATGAAATCTCCCAAATCTAGAGGAAGACTGCATAAATTAACCAGAAGAACTTTTGCTTTTAAAAAGTAGCTACTTTGATAGAAATTGTTTACCAGGCAAGCCAGGAATTAGTACCAGATTTTTTTATGTGGTGCTGTCTAAATTGTATTTTATTTCTCTGAATAAAGTCGTGAGTTGTGTGCAATTCAGCTCTTATACATCCTTCAGCCTGAGCATGATTATACACATTTTTATTTATAATCTTTTTATGGTCTCTAATATTAAATTGCAACAGCTTCCAACTAAAGGAAAATATGACATATGTAAGCAGACCAGTAATCTTCCAGGAATACTGTATTTCCCTTTTTAATTTCCTTTTAGGTTTGCCAGCTGCATCATTGAGAACTGAAGAGTTATTTTTTCCAATCTGAATTTAACTTTTAAAGTTAATGACATTCATAGTTTATCTGTTTAAATGAAGTTTGATTTTGTTTATCTCTGGTAAGAGTGGTCTGTCTGCCACAGGGAGGAGATGAATAAACTAATCATTTGTCTCTGCCACGTGGCCAAGAGGATGTGCCACTGAGAATATTTCTTTTTGTATTTTTCCCCTTTAATCCTCAGAAAAGGCAACACAGGTAGTGAACCCACACAGAAGTTGGGATGGATGCCAAGTAAAGCACCTCCAGGAAGTTACCCCAGAGCAGGAGGCAAGGCCAGGGTATGAAGACCCAAAGGCTCCTGGGAGAGAAATGAGACCTTCAGCCTTAAGACTAGCAACAGCACTTAGGGCGTATATACAGTTCTATAGTGCTTTACAACACTCTCTGAGCAGTTTAGAGTCAGCATATTCCCCCCCAACAATCTGGGCCCTCATTTTAGTGACCTCAGAAGGATGGAAGTCTGAGTCAACCTTGAGCTGGTCAGAATCAAACTCATGGCTGTGGACAGAGTTTGCCTGCAATCCTGCATTCTAATCACTGTGCTACCACCAAAATAGTGTTTTTTAAACTTGTCAGCTTTAAGATGTGTAAGACAGCATGCTGGTTGGAGAATTCTGGGAGTTGAAATCATCTTAAAGTTGCCATTTCTGGAAAAAAAGCACATAAACAGCCGCAGGCACTCTACTACAAACAGTTTCTATTGGATTTTCAGTCATATTTCTTCCCAAGGAAAATAATCTAATAAAGCTTTTGCAAATTCTGTTCCCTCATTAAAGTGTAGGACATAGATCAAAATATTATTCCTGGGTGTTTAAAAATAATGATAGGGCAGTTGGATCTGGAGATGGTGGGAGGTTTCTTTCTACAGGCAAATACTGGCTGGGAAAAACTTGTCAACTGATTTCTTCTTATTTGGTAGCTCACAAAGGCAGAGAAAAAGCCATTCAAGAGATTTAAGCAGCAAGATTCATAGGCATCTCTCTTTTTTTTTTTTTTTTTTGGGGGGGGGGGGAATGCTAGAATCTTTAAAACTGGGATCTTTAGAACTAGAATCATGACACTGAAGGGAGCAGCTTGTACTTGGCTACCTAACAGTCCAGTTAGGGGCATATTCCAAATTTAATCTGGTGTGCTTTTGGAGAGCTGGACAGAAAAGAATCCCATTTGTAACAGCAGTAATTGTAGTAATTAAGGGCAGCTGTGCATAGTATAGTTGATCCAAGTGAATGCTAGCTAGCTGGCTGGCTGGAATCAGCTGTTCCCCTTTGCCTGCTTTTCAACTTCGGTTTCTTATTAGCAAGACTTGAGAAACTTCCCCCACCTGGTGCCCTCTAGATGTGTTGGATTACAACTCCCACATTCCTAGGCTGGATGACTTTTGTAACTGGAGGGATAGCCAGATAGATGATGATGGATTATGGAGTAGATCTAACCTTAGAAAGCACCCTTCTTAAAGGCCCAAGAGGTACCCCAGCAGGAGTAGAGTTGGTTTTATTCTGAAGGCAACTAGCTTAGTTTTCAAAAGGAAGTGGCTTGGATTGTGCTTAAATCATCTCTCCTGAAAGGTCCATCTTTAGGATGGAGATTCAGGTCCTGCATTTCCTCCATGTTATTGAAATTTAACTCTGTTGCTAAAAATAGGGCCAACAAAAACCATTTTTCAAATCTTGGATTCATGTTGCTTCAACTATCTTTTTTTCCCCTTTCTAGCTCAGCTGCACAAGAAATGGAAGAGCTAATCCAGAGGTCTCCACACTTGGCAACTTTAAGACTTGTGGACTTCAACTCCCAGAATTCTCCAGCCAGCATAGGAGAAGTTGCCAAGTTTGGGGACCCCTGAGCTAATCTGTCTCTTTTTCAATGCAGATTCACAAAGTGATGTGCAAGTTATGATTTCTTTTGTACTTTGGCTTGTAATGTGCTCTTAAAAACAACACAGGATCACTACCACCCCAAACCAAACATGCAGCCAAATCTAAGTGGGACTTGAAGGAAAGATGGTGGCTAGAGCCACATTCCCCACAATTACTTTTAAACAACTGATTGTTCTAACCCTCAACAAATGAGCTCAATCATGTTTAGCATTTCATGCTAAGTTAAACCCAAATAAAGCACCTTATATGGGTTGGCATGTTGTACTAACCAACTTGTAATTTCAAGCTCAGCACAATCACTGTCACAAGAATTCTGTCCGTTGCTGTTTTTTGTTTTTTTAATAAAGTTTTTTATTTTTTACAACAACAAAACCTTTCATTTATACAGTGTGTTGGCTGGTACATAAGTCTTGTGCACAATATCTATGGTCCTTTCCTCAGCTTTACATTCATATTACATTAATTAACTTCCCATATTCTATTATTAAATGATAGTTAGACTTTTAATTTCAAATCCATGTTATCCTTTAGAGCAAACCTCACTTTTTAATAATTTTTGTTCATATTTATAACTTATTCAAAAATAATCAGTTACAACATATCATTATTATTATATACTTGTTTCCTACTTTTCTAACCACTGATAAAATAAATCCCATATCTTATAATATTCTTTTTCTTTTTGCTCTCTAATTGCCAATGTTAATCTACTCATGTCTACACATTCCATTCCATTGCTATGTTTTTGAAGAAACTTTTCTGCCTTTGAATTTCCACCCTACCTTGTTTCTCTCAGTGCTGTAAAATCCAACTACCAAGGGCGATTTTCCCAAAAGACCATTGGGAACAATTTATTATTTTGACAAATTGCAAACATTACAACACCCCTTCTGATAAGGACTGGATTCAAGAGAGGTGCGTCCCTTTTCAGGAAGGCAATTTTATCTATTATTCAAAAACGATTCAGTAAATAGTTCTTCTGAGGTATAAATTTTATGCTATTTTGTAATGTTAAGACAATTATTATATTATTAAGACAATTATTAAGATAGATTTAGACATATGTTTGACATTTATTTAAATGTGACATATAATAATGATGGGTTTCCCCCTTTTTATAGATTTTCTATTTCTTTCTGAAAAACTTGTTAATAAATTATGATCAAGTTTTAAAAAGCAACAGGCCCTTGAAGACACGGGGCGGGACAATCGGGAACATTCCCCCAGCCCGCCAAATGCCCTCCCTTGGCTGCCTCCATTCTAAGAGAGAGAAGAGTTAAATTCAGCCTCCGCATCTGTACTTGACCCCCCCCCCCCCACACACACACACTCCCGTCTGTCTCCAGAAGCCGGGGAAACGTAATTGTTTCCTTGCACAAAATCTCTCCTGCCCCCTCCTCTCCGCCAGAGCGGGGGGTGGTGGTGCTGTCGGAGCGTAATAGAAACCAGACTCCTAAGGAGAGGGAGATTTCTTCCCCGCCATCGCCTCACTGCCCGCCTCCCCCGCGAAGGGCTTGGCCAGCTGTTTTCCTCAGGATGAGGGGAACGGAGGGAGCGAGCGAGCGAGCGACTTGTGCTGCCCTCTACCGACCAACGCCCTTGGGTAAAGGCGAGCTCGCTTTCCTTTGCCCAGCCCGACGCTCCGGAGAAGCGGGCGGTGCAGATTCCCCGTACGTGGGGCCGTTTTTTTTCTCTTCCCCCCGCCGGATTTTCGCTGTATAAACTTTCTTAAAAGTTTTACTTGATGCAGAATGCGGGTCCTTCCCGTCTGGGCCGAGATCGATTCCGCACTGGGGGTGGGGGGAAGCGATTCGGTACGCCGAGCGGGCCAGGGAGGCTGAACCCGCCAGCAGCAGTGACTCCGGATCCACGTCCCCACTCTCGCGTCCTTCCCTGCCCCCACTAAGCAGGCGTGGGATTTGAAGCGCCATGAACGACCTGGCGGGCCTTCTCTCTGACAAACCACGATGTAGAGCTGATTAGATTAAACCTGGAACCTTTTCCAGCTTCTTTGAGACGCCAGATTAGCGCGCGTTCACGTGCCTCGTCCACTCCTGTTGGAAGTGTTACGTCCCACGTTAGCCCTTATAAATTTGGCAAGCGGGAGGGTCGCGCGTCATTCCTCGGCTGGAGGAGCGGGTGAGTTGCTCTCTTGCGCTCGAGGCATTTGCTGGCTGGAAGTTGTTGCTTCCCTCCGCCTGGGAGTCCCTCTCCCCCCCATGGCAGGGAAAGCCAAGACAATTGGCAGGTTTGCAATAGTGGCGAATAATTGGCAGGCTATTCTAGATGGGGCCTACCGATTACTAACAATTTCGGAATTCTACGAGGCAGTTCGAGAGGGGGATAATTTATTGCGCCCACCCGCGTCCTATTTCACCTACAACGGTACAAATGTTTGGGTTCCCAAACTACGGTTGTAGGAGCCCGAACACGAGAGCCTAGGATGTAATTTCTGCGTTTCGGAGCTAAACTTCGCTAGTAACTTACTAGAGCTCTCTCTCTCTCTCTCTCTCTATATATATATATATATATGTGTGTGTGTGTGTGTGTGTGTGTTTGTGTATATATATAGTGTGTGTTTATATAAATGTGTGTGTGTATATATAGATGTACGAATATATATATATATATATATATATATATATATACACACACACATATACATATATGTATATAATATATATGTATATACACACACACACATATATAAATTGAGATAAAAAATGAGACTTTGCACATAATTTAGGGTCTTTAGAATGTGGGTGTTAATATACAGTATATTATAAACACGGCCACAGCAATGATCAGTCTGCAGAGATCCAGGTCAAAAGAGTTAATAGTCTCTGTTTCCACGGGTATCTTTATGAAAAAAGATTCTGATTAAAGGTACATGAGGTTCTAAGTAATTTTGCTGCTGTGATCCAAAGTATTTTATTTCATGTTTAATGAGACTGAAAATTAAAACCAACACATCCAGAACCTTCTTGCCTCCATAGATATCCTGATGAGCACTTCTTCCATTCAAATAAAATGCAAATACAGTTCATTATGTGACTCACGGGAAAATAATCCAATGGTTTCCTGTAAATTGGGAACTCCTGCAAGATTATTAACATGGGCAAATGACTTTAAACAGCTTGCAAACGCCAAAGGAAGAAAAAGTAGGTTAAATTAGGAAAGTTTGTTGACCGCAGAAGCTGTTGAACTCCAACTCTGGTCTGCCCATTTTGAATTATGGAAACAACATCTGTAGGATAAAGACTTTGCTCCTCAAATGTAAATGAACTGAAATGTTTATTTTATTTTGTCAAATGCTTACAATATAAAATAAGAATAAACATAAATTTAAATATAATAGGAACTAATAATTGGGGACAATAGGACAGGGATGGTAGACACAATTGTACGCTTATGCTTATGGGACTAGAATTCAGTCTTTTGGTTTCTAGCTTGGTGCCCTAATCACTAGACCAAACTGGTTCTCCGTATTTGTACCAAAGTTTAAAGAATCACAGTATTGATTTTTTTTTAAATTGGCTATTCTGCAAGAATAATTTTGACTCTTGTTCTATTAAAATAAATGGCTAGGTGTCTTTCAGAATAGCTTTGCTCTGATTTGTTTTCAGAATCCTAATGTGAAATGCTGTTCTTTCATACCTACTTACATTTCAGACAGAAGCGGTGTTGCATTATAGGGATAATATCTGAAACCAAGGTGATTGTGTTGCCTTTGGCCACTTACAAATTGAGCCAGATTTACTATTTGCCTATAGTACCTATGTTTCTCTAGTGTTGATTACAGTATCTCCTAATGCCAGCCACTGCTTAATGTCCTATGTTTGTTCATAGCAGTGTTATCTTTATGTTAGTATGCATTTCTTAGGGCAAATCTCTTCCCTCTTGAACTTACATATGCTGGCAGAATCAAATTTATAGCACTTTCTAAGTTACTGCATAACTAAATTGTGACAACTAAGCCTAAGGAACAACAGGGAATTGAGAAATTGTTGGTCTGATTAATTGATCACTTCAGGCTTAGCTAAAGGTTATGTAAAAATTTTGGTTTGGCAAAACTTTAGTGGTATAAGTTTGTAAGGAGATGTGGAAATTTGGAGTAATTAAAAGGCAGCAGCTGGTATCTATTTTATGCAATTCTTGTAACTGGATTCAGCTTGATATTCCATCCCATCTTATATTTTGGGCTTTGGTTTTGCTGATTTAGCAAAATGGCTTTAAGAGATTGAATTATGAAAGAGGGTGTAATTTATTCAAATTTGAGTTGGGTCACAAACTTAGGAGATAATTTGAACTAAGTCTCCTCTCCCAGTATGAAAATAGAAATATATTTAACGAGATATTGTAAAATTTGCCAAGTATGCCAGATGTATTCCTGGAACATTTGCTGCATCTTCTCCAACTCGATGTCCTCCAATTATTTTGTACCACAATGCTAATATTTCCCAGCCAATTATAAATCATGCTGTAACAAAATAGTAATTGAAATAATCTAATCCTTCTACACTTCTATTTTAGCTTTTTCCTGTTTTCCCCATAAGAGATAGCTTTTGATGCATATTCAACTGACACCTCCCTATTATGACCTTTTCCTATTGGTGAACTTTTCACAAGATGAGAACTGACTGCCTCCAGAAAGTCATTAATGAAGCTTTGTTTGGGAGAGAACATAAAAGCAAAGAGGGATATTATTTATTATTTTAGGAATAGTAAGCAGTGCAAGTAGGCCTCGACTTACAACAGTACATTTAGTGACTGTTCAAAGTTGCAACCGCACTGAAACATGTAACTTACAACCATTATGATCTTTGCAGAATCCCCATGGTCATCTGATGAAAATTCAGATGTTGGCAACTGACTCATATTTATGACCGTTGCTGTGTCCGAAGGTCATGTGATCCTTTTTGTGACCTTCTCTCAAGCAAAGTCAGTGGGGAAGCCAGATTCATTTAATAACTGTGGCAAGAAAGGTCGTAAAATGGGACAAAACTCAATGTCTCACAACAGAAATTTTGAGCTCAATTTTGGTTGTAAGTCAAGGACTACCTGTACCCGAACTGTTAACCAAGGTCACTGGAAAAGCAAAGATTTAAAAATTAACACTGAATCGTAGCAACATTAAAGATCCCAGAAGGACTTCTATTTCTTTGCCACTTGATTTTGCTCTGGATGAACCTTGAAGGGTAGATAGAAAATAAAAGGATAGGTAGGAATTCATGGTTTATTCTGTATTGTTTCTTCTGAGAGCTATCTACTCCTCTTATTGGTGAAATTATGTTCTCCATTTACCAGGAAGAACTACAATCATTCTTTTTCACAATTCTACCAGAAGCCTCTGGCATTGAAAAGCAAAAAAGACTTGAGTGTTTAACTGGAAAATAGGTTGCAAAATGGAGATGCGCATGGAATACTTGACTTTGTGGTTCTGCTTATTAAATGTATTTCTAATGGTTTGGAACCATAACATGACTGAAGGATCCCCAGCAATATTGGGCCACCCATTCATCTCAGTCTGGAATGCACCAACGCAAATATGCCAAGAAAAATACAAAATATCCCTTGACTTGAGAATTTTTGATCTAATCGTCAATCCAAATGACTCGTTTATAGGGAAAGACATTACTCTCTTCTATAGTAATACATTTGGATACTATCCATATTACACGAAGGATGGAGTTGCCATCTATGGTGGTCTCCCTCAAAATGCTAGTCTAAAAGCTCATCTCCAGAAGATTGAACAAGACATTAATAATACCATTTTGCATGTTGGCTTCAGAGGTCTGGCAGTTGTGGACTGGGAATGCTGGCGTCCCTTATGGATTCGGAACTGGGGTTCTATGAAAATCTATCAAAATAAATCCATAGAGTTAGTTAAGGAGTGGCATCCTGATTGGCCTGCTGACAAAGTGATCGAAGCAGCCCAGTTAGAATTTCAGCAATCTGCTTGGGCATTTATGGGGCAGACATTGGCCCGTAGTGAAACCCTGAGACCGAAGGGCTTCTGGGGCTTTTATGGTTTCCCCAATTGCTATAACAATCAATTCCAATATGCCAATTATACTGGAGAATGCCCAGAGATTGAGAAACAGAGGAACAACAAATTGTACTGGCTCTGGAACCAAAGCCGGGCTCTCTATCCCAGCATTTACCTCCCCCAAATTCTCAGACTGACTCACAAAACTCTTGAATTTGCTCGTCATCGAATCCAGGAGTCCTTCAGGGTTTTGAAGTGGACACAGAATGACATCCCTGTCTTACCTTATACTACCACTGTATATGAGTCTACTCATAACTTCCTCACACAGGTAAGCACTTTTTGTGTCTGGCCCAGTGCGGGATTTGATAAGCCTTGTCCAGTGGGAATTCGCTGGAAAACATTGCATGGAAATAAGAATCATGGACTTTTAATAAAATATCCTTATCAATATCCTTAAAGTTTTTGAACTCAATATGGCATCACAATTAAATATCTGTTGCTGTAATTTTTACTCAACAATAGACAGAGCCTTTTCCCACTCCCCCCTTACCCTGGTAAATACTTTCAACATATCAATGTGAAAAATTAACATCTTTTTGCAGTTCAGTTTTATGCTTGGCTTTGTATTTAACAGCATTTCATGTTTGGATGAGACAGGATCAAAATTAATGACGTGTTGAAAATCTGGGGCTTTTTATTGCGTTTTTGTTTTTGGGTAACAAAATTTTTATGGAAGATTTTTCTCTTTCCTCCCATCCCTTCAGTTGGAGGAAGTAGACTTGAAGCCTAAGTGCCGTAATATTTGATTTTCCATCAATAACAGAGAAATTGTCCCGTTAGTGTAGAGCCAATACAGTGTTTTTATATAGTGTCTTATTGTGGCCAGAGGAGGAGTGCTAAAATTCAGCTCCTAAACAAGATGTGTTTGAAATTACCCCTTAATATCCTTGTTTTTCAGGAAGACCTGGTCCACACCATTGGTGAGAGTGCTTCTCAGGGTGCTGCCGGAGTTATCTTGTGGGGTAGTGCAAATTTCAGTAAATCTCAGGTGAGTGTGGCAAAGAAGTCAGAGCTGGTCAGAGGGCCATGTGATGCTAGGTAGGAGAACTTCAAAGATTCAGATTATAGTAAGAGATATTATTTGAGCAAAGGCCTTTCCAACTTTTTTTTTCAATCCATACATTATGGATGTATAATATATTCAGTTACACGATAAAAAAGGTGCTCCTCTAGATTACCTTTGTCAGGACTTTGATGAATAAATATGTATCTCTGTTTCTGCTGGACTTCTCTGCAGCATTTGATAAGATCAACTAAGGTATCATTCTGATTTGTGGTTACTTGAGCAGGATAAAATGACACCCAGCTGTGCATTGTCATGTCAGGCTGTATTGGAGATGCTATAAACTACAGGCTGTTAGGGTTTGGATGGGCAGAAAGAAGCTGAGATTAAAGTCTAGCCAAGTGGAGTCATTCTATGCCTGTAAACATCAGGTCTGTCTGATCATACTGACCCCTGTAATTGCTTCTAATGAGGTTGTCCTGTCTCTGAATGTACTGGTGCATAATTTGGATCCATACAGCTCCTACTTGAGTGACAAGTGGAACTGTGACCAGGGAGTGTTTCTCCTGGCTTCAACTGATGTACCATTTGCAGACATACCTGTATCAGGTTGGCATAGCTTAATTCCATAATAACCCATGTTTGCTATTCATGTATACGAATTAAATTAAGACAAGTCACAACATTTGTGGTGGAATGTAGTCTGGATTCCCAGGAGGGAGTGTATCCCAGAGGAGCAAAAGACAACTGAGATAGTTTGTGTGGAAAGAGAGTTAAGGCAACTCCTCCCAGAAGTTCTGAGAATATGTTAAATCAGGGGTGTCAAACTCAAGGCGGCGGGCCGGATGCTTAAACCTGGCCCGTGGGACCAGCCTGGAAATAGCAAAGGACCCGATGCTCCATTTTGGCCAGCAAAATGCTGCAGGAGGCGTCCATCCCATCTCACCCCAGCCAGCCCACAGAGGAGAATTACAGTGCTGATCTGGCCCTCGAAGGAATCCAGTTTGACACTTCTGTGTTAAATGGTGCAAGTAGTCCGTTCTAGTTTGGCAAAATTTCTGTCTATAGGTGAAGGACAATGAAGGAAACTGCTTAAGAATCTCAGTGTGTCTTTCTTGGGTTTTTTTTGGAACCTAATAGCATTTTAACTTGAATCCAGAGTTAATACAACAGCCTTGAGATCATCATAATTATATAAAAATTCCTTGGGAAAAGTCCAGTTATTTCATTAAATTTCTAAATTTAGTCTAGTGCTTGGGAGAAAGGGTACTTGTATTTTTAGCGTACTTTTAATGGATTGTTATGAGCATCTAGGATTATCCTATGAGATAATGCCAATATAAATTAAATAAACAAACCCTGGGTAATATTTGTCCTTTTATATCATGTCAACCACACGGATGATGACTAGAATGTCAGACACAAAGGATCAGCACCATACCTTAAATTGCAGTACAGAAGGTTTATTCAAACGTATACACAAAAATCTAATCAAGTTCAGTGTTAAATTGGTGCCAGATAAGGGTCAACAGAATTCAAGAGGGACTGGACTAAAATTGTTTATGGCAATGTAAGGACTCTGAGCTAATGACACATTTAACTCTGCCGCCACTATCCCCGCTCTGCCTTTTATATAGAATTAGATGTTTCCTTGGTGACCATGACATCAAGTTAAGGGAAAACGGTCAATCATGGATGGAACACTAGTGGGAAATGTGTTCTATGAATAATATGATCATTGCAGACAATTTTTTTAAAATCATTTTCTCTGGCCCTTATTTTTTGTACCTTACAGGAAGCCTGTCTTGAAATGAAGGAGTATGTGGACACGCTCCTTGGCCCGTACATTATGAATGTGACCAGTAGTACTAAGCTTTGTAGTAAAATACTCTGTTCAAAGCATGGCCGCTGCGTGCGGCAGGAGAATCACCCAGAAGCCTTCCTGCATCTCAATTCTGCTAGTTTCACTATTAAGAAGCATAATGTCGCCCCTGGTTTTATTCTGATTGGCCAGATGTCAGTGAAAGATCAAATCAAGATGGCCCAAGAATTCACATGTCAGTGCTACAATGGCTGGAAAGGACTGCGTTGTGAGAAGAAGTCAATCCACAGTGAGGTATTCAGTCCTCAGTTTCATGATATATAATACATGTCAACAAGAAAACCTCAACCTGTAGAATTAGTCTGTATAAAATTAATATCTGATCAATATCTGATTAATTTAATACTTGAGAGACTACAGGCTACATTACAGCCAGCCAAACTGGTTCAGAATTCTGGAAGCTGCAGTCCCATCACATATGAAAGGCAGAAGTGGCTGAAAATTGGGCTTCCATCTTTTTGCAATGATACCCAAAGGCATTGGCAAACAATTTTTTCCCCTCTCCTGTTGAGTGCAAGCAAAAATCCTCCTAGAAAATGTTTTCTTCAGTCTCTTTGCTTGTAATACAGTTTTGCCTTGCAGCATAAAAAAGCTGGCATGCTTTTTCTCTTGATCATGATAGGAATACTGTACTGTGCTTTTCTTATGAATATATTTGCCTTCATTTCCATCTGAAGAGGAAACATCAGTTTGGTGACATCTTTGTGATGACATGTTGATGCATGCTTGGGAGAAAAGACACACTTCATTTCTTTGGGAGACCCACAATTTATTCTTGACAGTTGTAGGATGAGCATTTTGAAGGAAGACAGCACTGTCGCCCATCAATTGCCTTTAAAATAAGTGCAAATACTTCTGCATACCGTTGTTGCACCTGGTGCTTTTCTAGGTTGTTCAGTGACTATTTTTATGCAGAGACTGCATGTATAGCTGCTGAGGCTACCTCCAGTTACAGTAGATACCCTATCTCAATGTTTTCTGCGTTACATTATTCTGTTACAGCTTAGACACTGACTTTGAGAAGGAACTAGAGCAATACTGACAATACTGGAATTTTACTGTGGAACTGAGTTGATGTAGCAATTAGTTATTGAACACGATTGCTATTTTATTACATTATTAAATTTATAATTAAAGGATAATTAAATTATTGAAGTGTTATGTATACGTTGTGCTAAATCAAAATCTAACAGATCTCTATTACCAAGCAGGAGCCACCTACACATACTTTACATATTGAACTACATGATATCCAGTACTCTCTGTAATATCAGTTTTCTATCCCAAATGTGTTTATAAACCCACACTTGCCAAATATCCTGGTAGCTGGGAGAGATGGTTATTTAAGGGTGGGGGGAGGTAGAGTCCTCCTTTGTAGAAAAATTAACCCATGAAAATGCCATTTTCTTCCACCTCAATGGGACAAGAAGCAGAGAGGATGTTTGTCAGTTCTCTTAGCACAGAAGCAGGCTGGCCCCTGGATATTCCTGCCCGTCTTGTTTGGAGTGCGAGATAATATCCAAGTGAGTCATGCCCAGCCGGTTTGGCCTGCTGGGTTCATGGCACAGGCATGTGACAATTGCTGTAGGGGAGCCCTCTGGTCATGAGACTCCTTGAAACAGTTGCAGAAGAGTGGTATATACCAATACCAATAGCTCTTAGACTTAAATACCTTTCCACAGCACTCTCTGGATGGTTTACAATGTCAGCGTATTGCCCACAAGAATCTGGGCCCTCATTTTACTGACCTCGGAAGGATGGAAGATTGAGTCAACCTTGAAACCCATCAGGATCAAACTCCAGACTGGGCAGAGTTTGCCTGCAAAAACAAAAAAATTGTGTGTGTGTGTGTGATATTATTGGAGCTCTGCATTCATTGTGCACACATAATACACATGGAAAAAACCCTCTGGCAAAGCTATTACACAGGGGCTGCCATTTTGACTTTTTTTTAAACCATACCTTGAGATGTCATGAGCTTGTAATTTCCCCAGCTATCATGTTCTGGGAGTTGTTATCCACACATTAAAGTTGTCAAGGTTGACAAACAGCCTTAAAGCATTCCTTCCCAGTGAACTTTTGAATCTTTACCGTTAATAGCTCCAAGCAACAAAGCTATTAGCAACGAACTGAGGATTACAGTATAATTCAAAAACATCAGGAAAACACCTTGTTATAAATGGAGTAGGCTTACTGAAGTTTAATTCTGAAAAATGTGCAAAGAGAGGTGGCCTGAATATTTTACTCTAAGAAAAAAATGATCCTTTTTCATATTAATAACTAAATAATACCTAACTTTTTAAAGCTGAGTTAGTATAATTACAGCCCAGCTGTACTAACCTGAATTTAACCAGTTTTTCCAAGTAAAAATAGTTAACCACCTTTCTCACAGTTTTTTAAAAATTTTTTAAAACATGTAGCTTTTGTTTTCCGTTTTTTGAGCCTAGGCAAAGTATCCGGACTTTGTCTCTTCATCCGTTCCTTTTTCCTCCCTCAATTTACTCCACCCCTTACATATATATATGTAATTATATATTAATATATTACACATATATGTCTCTATATGGAGATTCTCACACACTCTCTCTCTTCAACACTTCACGCGCGAACACACAATCGTCTGTCCGCACCTATCTTTCGCTTTCTAGCCCCACGTTCTCGCTTCTGCTCCCACTAACGCACAAATCACGCTTCCTTTGCCGGGCCCTACGCTTCTGAACCCAGGCGTTTGCCTCCTCCCCCCCCCCCCCCCCCCCCCCCACTTTCCTTCCCAAGATGAATTAACGGCTCCGTTTTCTTTCATTTGATGCAACGGAACTTCGAAAGGAGAACCGCAACAGAAACCAGCTCGCAAAAGTGAGTGAGAAAGGACAACGGCAATCTCCAGAGAAGGAAACCCTCCAAGCCGTTAGGGGCCAGTGTAGCTTTCGGGACGGGGGAAAAAAAGGGGGGGAGCGGAACTTTTCTGCCCTCGCCGCTTTACGGCGTGTGGGGCCGTGGGCGAGCTCAGGTGGCTGAAAATGACAGAGCGTCCGCACGGCAGTTCCCGCGGTTGCTAGCACGATGTTAGTATTTATGATCAATCCCGCGTTCGGCGTTAATGTTGGTTTGGGCCGGGATGAGGGTCTGGCAAGGGGGCGTTCTCGGCTGAAACTCTCGCCAGGGAGAGGCAGGGCAGTTCAAACGGGATCCTCTCTCATCTGCCGGACGGGAGATCGGGAAAGCATCGAGGGTTGGGATAGATACACATTTTGGAGAGAGAGCAGGAATCGAAGGGTTGGGCGGGGTGGGTAGGTGCTAACAGGTTTGGCTGACTGATTCTTGAGTCTTCTTTCTCTTGCTCCAGAAGAGGAGTTGGGCGGCCTGTGCCCATAAAAGGGCATGAATCTCTGCAGCGGGCGGGCGGGGGAAGCGCTAGGGTTGAATGGTGGGTTTAGGCGCTTCAGGATAAAAAGCAAAGAGAGGGTTTCTCAAAAGCTATTAAACTCCTCTTTACCTTTTGCACCCAGGAAAGGGGGGGGGGGGGGCGGGGGGTGAAACCTAGAAGTCAACTCCTTCCAAACGAAGCCCCTAGTTAAGCGCAACGCAAATGCAGGGAGCTTCCCACATTTCCTCCTATCGCCTTGTATGGCTTGGAGAGGACCATTTGCAGCCCAGTGGCTGGTTCTTTGCTGACACCTCGTGTCGTTTAATGGGAAAATTCGTGGCTGCCTTTTTTTAGGGCTTCTGGGGAAATGCCAAAGAGGCCTGGGTGACTCTGCTGGCAAAAGCGAGGGGGCGATTTATTGGAAGAAAGCCCCGAATTTGGAAGGGTGGTTTCTCTGAGTATCCCCGGATAGTAGAGGCAGCGCCCCTGGACTAGAAGATTAGGGTGCTTCAGGGGTGGTTTTCCTCATGGAATTGAAAAATAATACCCTAGTTGCTTGCATCCACATATATGAGGGGAATAGAGCTCACTGTGTTACTGTACTGTTGGCCCTCTGAAGTAGGCCAGATTAGGAAAATAACCTCCTGAATATTAGTTTTATTTATTTTTTATTATACGTTCCAGTAACAAGTTTAGAAGTGCTTCCCCATTCTCCTGCCTTTATTGGGGGGGAGAGCAATTCTGAAGTCCTTTCTCAAATTAAATAACTCTCATCACTAACAGTCCACAGCATGGTTGAATTTCAACAATTCAACATCTGTATCCAGATCTGTAATAGGTCTGGGATTCATTAGGTTGGGGAAGACTGATATAAATGAGTAAGCGTACTTTATGCTTCTGGCAGATTTCACCAGCCAGTCCCTCTTGGAAATGGAGAAAGGGATTTTAATGTTCAAGTTTAAATCCAGTGATGTATGTGTGATAGTTTAATCAAATCTGTGTATTTTCAATATGTACATTTTATGTAAAATACATATTTGGAAGTCCCTCTGGGTGGCGCTTACTTATCAGTAGGGGTGTATACGAATTTGCTGTAACTGCCTTTGTTTTCAGTGGGCTGGAGTTTGGGTTCACTTTCGTTCAGTTGTAGTCTCTATATTTTCCTTCTAACAATAAGATGACATGGTTCTAGAAGAGTTAGAGTTTTGTTATCTGAATATTTTCTATGTCTTCAACATGAATATTCAGGGAATCAGAGACTGGAAAAGAACCAAGCCTAAGTCATATTTTTAGTTTCAGAGCAGGAAAAATGTGCCGTGTACACAGGAAAACCCCCATCATCTTTGCTTGAACATATCCTCTGCACTCTGTCCTGTCTTGTCTCTGGTTTCCATGAGTTTGTGATTCCTCATCGGGGAATGCTTGTTGGTGGCAACACAGGGTACTTTTCTTCCATGTCCCCTACAAAGTATAGACATTTGGAGAAAGCATGGGTGGTGATCCCCAAAAATGTTTGTGCTCTGATATAAATATCTATTTTATTGTTATAGGAATAGCTTCATGGCAGTATCTACTAAATCTTTAAAAAAAAAATCTCTCTGTTCTAGCAAAATACAGGTAGTCCTTGACTTACAACAGTTCATTTAATGACAGTTTGAAGTTACAATTGCACTGAAAAAAGTGACTTACGGCCGTTTTCCACAGTTACACCCTTTGTAGCATCCCCAATATCATGGGATCAAAATTCAGATGCTTGGCATCTGTTTCATACTTAAGACCCTCACAGTGTCCTGGGGTCATGTGATCACCTTTTGCAACTTTCTGACAAGCAAAGTCAATGGGGAAGCCAGATTCACTTAACCACCAGGTTACTAATTTAACAACCACAGCGACTGACTTAACAACTGTGGCAAGTAAAGCTGTAAAATGGGGCAAAACTCACTTAGCAAATTTCTCTCAATTTGTGCTCAATTGTGGTCGTAAGTCGAGGACTATCTGTTCTGTTTAATTCAGAGGTGCTATGATTATCTAGGTGCTCGATTAAGCTCAAAAAGTTAAATATTTGAATGGAACCATCATGAAATATAAGGTTGTAGACTAAGTTGGGAAGGTGAAGAAAAATTCCCAAAGACGTTTATGGCAACAATAGCAGTGCTTTGAAAACCATATGGATGTGTTCACAAAAACACCATGAGCCAGACTTGAAGGACCTTTTTATTGTTTCTTCTAAGTTTCATTTACTGGGTAGATCCTCCATTCTGGATAATGGACATTCCTGAATATTTGTTTCTGGGCCATGATGGCTTACGGTTCCCTCAAGGAATCTTCTCTTTCCTTACTTTTTCAGTAGTTATTATAAAAAGAGTGCCAATAAGTTTCAGCCTGAAGTCCAGGACCCAGCTCAGAGCACAATGGCTAAAGCAACCAGGTGCCCCTTGGATAGAAGTTGTTGACTACCTGTCACACCACCTCTACTATGTGTTCTTCTGCTAATACCAGTGGATAGAATTCTTATGGGGGAAAGTTGATAGTTTCTTAATGTTGGAGAGGTAGTGTAGTTCTCTCTCTCTCTCTCTCTCTCTCTCTCTCTCTCTCTGTGTGTGTGTGTGTGTATGAGAGAGAGAAAGAGAGAGAGGAACATGAACACATTAAAGAAAAAGGATAAAAAATGAAGAAGGAAAGAACGGCATGTGTTTGTATACATGGATGATTTTATTGTTTCTTCTAAGTGTCTGAATGGAGTGTCTGAATGTGATGACTCTGAACTTATAAGATCTTAAATTGATGTGTGAGTTTAATTTAAGATAATCACAACCCAGTGTTCTTTCACTCTCAAGATTGTTAGAAACGGGTAAGAGGTATGGGATGACACTGATGGCTTTGAAAGGTAAGCATTGAAACTGACTTCTGACAGAAAAGTTGTTTGTACCTCTCTTGCGTGTTCATTCAGTTGGTCAACAAATATCTGGAACTGAGAGCATGCCTCAATGCCACACTGGTCAAGACACTATAAATTAAGCTAAAGACCCATTGTACAGTCATCATTGTTTGTGTCTACACTTTAATGATATAGTCTGACTGAATGCAGAAATTTTGGGGAGGAATTAGGGCATGGGAAGCTGTCAATCTAGTTTGCCTGTTCAACCTGCCCTATTTTGTCAGATGTTCCACCCTAGATAACCCTGATTGTTGTCCTTATAATAGGACCGGATGTTGCTTGCTAACGTATACTGGATGGTTATTTATTAGAGAACAGATTGTCAGAATGCTTTTGCCTATATTTGGACTTGCCAGCAAGGATAGTTTTAAAGGATTCATTTGAGAACCCCTTAGAATTTGCTGGCTGTTTTTCATTGTCGGGTTGAGGAAAGGTGCCAGCCTTCTATTGTAAAGGTTGGGCAGTTCAACACTTAATTTACATTTCAGATACTTCCCCCTTTACCAGTATTCAAATTAGCAGCCTCTTCTTTCTTTAAAAGAAGTAATGGATAAGAAGAGCATGTTTAGTTCCTGCTGTGCTCTTGTGAAAGCAGCTAAACTGTTTCTACTAGGTGTTAATTGGCAAGCAGAAATTTCTAAGGAGAAAGGTGGTGCTACTTGAGGCAACTTCCATTCACTGAAGGTATTTGGCACTTTTTTTTCCCATTTGCCCTTTTCTTATGCAATAATACTTGGACAAGGGTATTCTTGCCTTCCTTAATCAGATGTTGTAGAGGAATAGGCAGTTGGGTTGATTTTTTTTGAGAGTTATAACTGAGGAAGAAGTACCTTTCCCTAAGTAATGTTAAAATACAGAGGATGAGAATCTTCACCCAGTCAGGGAACCCAAGAAGAGAAATATGGTTGACTGGAACTTTCAAACTTGTTTTCCACGATTGAATGGCTTTATTGCCATTTTTAAGCAAAGCAACTTGAGATTGACACCAAGCTGAAATTAGGAAGAAGAGAACAAGCTACAGATGGTGATCATTGGAAGGAGTGAAAAGAAAGCCATTGCCATGCCTGATATTTTCTCCTATCTCAATACTACTCTCTTTTTCTCTTCTCTCAATACCATTATCATAGTGTTACCTGTATTTTTCTAATCTAGCTCCAGAATTCTGATAAAAATCAGTCTCATGCGGTATGCAAAATAGTCTGGATTTAAGCAAGGAAGGAAACCTGATTTACTGTAGATTAGAATTGATGTGGTAGTTAGAATTCAATGTAGTGAAAAGGACAATAAGTTTACCTGGGATTATGCTTTCTGCTCAATGTTCTAATCCGTATTAGGATAATTTTCAAAAACAGTTGTGGTTCTGCCATTATCATTAGGATTATAATATATTTTGTTTCTAATTTTTTTTTGCTAAGGCAGATTTTTTTTAACATGTAATATAAGGCAAGTTACATATTCTTAAACACAACACGTTGCACAACACAACACATTGCACAATTATAATAACATTGTACAATTTCAATAGAATAATGGACTTTGTATTTTTGTGCCTGTTTTTGGGTAATGAACATTCTTCAAAAGTCATTTGCAAGATACTTTATTGTAAATCAATTGGTGAGGGAACTGGCAAATTCTCAATTTCTTCCCATAATAACATCATATATTGTTACTGCTGAAGATGCTTAAAAAAATAAGTTTTTGACATATCTGGGTAGTATTTTGATATAGAGGTTCATACCTGTTTGGTCTGCCATAGAGTTTAGCAATTTTATTGTTAGCAGTTAGTTAGCAATTTTATTAAAAAGCTATCTGTTACTTGCTTCCTACCACCTCTACTTACTTTTGTCCTTTCAGATCAGGTGAAGATATTTTCAAATAAAACCCTGAACTGTACCCTCAGCAGGCACATGGGCCATTTGGGGCCAGAATGTGGACATTAAAGTGATATTGATGCTTTGCTTTGCAGCATGACCACTTCCATTTATACATTAATGTGAAAAGTCACGCCTATGGGCACAGTGGCATATCTGGTTCTAAGGGTACTAAGATATTGTGCAGCTATGAAAATGAGGTACAGTTAACTAACTTACAGTAGGCAATTGTCTCACAAAATTCTATGGCCAAAGTGGCTTACAAATTGCATTGTATTATGGAAAGAACTTGAATCATGCATATCAAACATAAACATCAGCATGCAAAATAATTCTATATTTTATATCAACCTTTGTTTCTGTTGGAGAGACAAATAGCACATTGTTGGCTCAGTCTTAAGATTTTACCCATCTTTAAGGAGGTATTATAAAACTTTGGAGTTCTTCATATTCTCTGATCTTGTTTGCTTCCAGACATTTTATTACTCAACTAGGTGACATCACTGCTGCTACTGAATGTAGAGCTTGCTCCCTGTTTATATTCAGTAGCTTGTCTGTCAATGTTGGTGGAGGGTGTGGTTTTCTCCTTGATAGTTCCTTAATTAGGGTTCTGCTTGGTATTGATGCCTGCTTAGCACATGGGCATATAGGAAAGAGAACAAAAGTAGTATTCTGCCTAGAAGTATATGAGTGGTAGATACCCCTTCTGGCCATTCTTGACTAGGGAAGATGAAGAAACAACCCCCCCTCCGCCGGGAGCATTTCACGTGGGCTAGGTGGCATCTCAGATGGCGTGGCAGTGCTGGCTGAGTGTCTAGAGGCTACTTCTGCTGATCACTGGCTGCCGGCAGTTTGGCAGTTTGGGTCTCCCTGGCTCAAGGTTGACTCAGCCCTCCATCCTTCTGAGGTCAGTAAAATGGGAACCCAGGTTGTTGGGGACAATATGCTGACTCTGTAAACTGCTTAAAGAGACCTGTAAAGCACTGTGAAGCGGTATATAAGTCTAAATGGTAAGTGCTATAAGGATCTGGATGGGGAGGGACTGACCTTGAATCAATCCTGGCAAGTGGAGTGTCTGTGGGTTTTTGATCCCCCAGGACCAGATGATTCTTCTTCATCTTTCATTCTGGGTGGGGTGATACTTTTCTGCACTGAACCGGAGCACGATTCTGAGGTCCTCCTGGATTGACAGCTCCTGCTGAAGAAGCAGGTGGTAGTTGTGGTAAGGGGGGGGGGACTTTTCCTAGATTTGTCTGGTGGACCAATTGCATCCTTTCCTGGTCCAGGAGGCCTTGCTTATGGTCATTTATGCCTTGGTCACCTCCCATTTGGAATACTGCAGTGCGCTCCACATGGTGCTGCCCTTGAATAACAGCCAGAAACTTGGTCTAGAATGCAGCACCATACACAGTAAGGAGACCTCTATGTAGGCCTATGTAACACCTCTCTTGCACGAGCTGCAACTGGCTTCCAGTTTCTTTCTGGTGCAATTCAAGGTGCTGGTCGTCACCTTTAAACATTTACAGCACAGGGACAGAGATGCAGGACCACCTTTCCCTAAGAACACCTACTTGTCCTACCAGGTCAGATAGAATGGGCATATTCTTAATCTCTTCCCATAAAAATTGTCATCTGATGAGAGCTAGGAAATGTTCCTTTTCCATGGCAGCCCCTGCCCTGTGGAACACTTTCCCCCCTGAGGTTTGGCAGGCCTGTACCCTTTTGGCGTTCTGTAAGGCTTTAAAGACCTAGCATTTCTCCCCCAAATTGGGAGATTAGATGATGGCACATGAGCACAGAGTTGTGTCATGTTATTAACAACTGCACTGTTATTTTAATACTTTATGTTTTGATGGAATGTTAACATTTTGAAAACAATTGTATGTGTCTTTCGATTTTTAATTGGGAGTTGCCCAGAGTTCTTGAGATATGGAGAGCTATATAAATGTTGTAAATAAAATAAATGGGTTAGAGCAGGGGTCTCCAACCTTGGGCAATTTTAAGACTTGTGGACTTCAACCCCCAGAATTTAAGTCCACAAGTCTTAAAGTTGCTGAAGGTTGGAGACCCCTGGGTTAGAGGGATTGAGTTCTTTTTAAATAAGCTCCCTTCTTCTTTGTTAGTGATATATAATGGGGAACCCTCCCCCCACACCTCCGCAAATGGACCAAGTGTACAGAGGTGAGGCTCTCTTTTCAAATCCTCAAGCCAAAATGCCTCCCTTCAAAAAAAAATTGTGTCCTGCTCCATATTCACGTTTGATTCATGTATGTGCAACTCACTCTGTGGTCTAACTGGAAACATCAATACTTCATCTGTGACTGGTTATGGGAATGTTTCAACATACTGCCTTCTTGCAATCCATGGCTTCTGGGAGACATTGGAGGAAGTATTGCGTTGTGCTCTGGAGAAACATTCAAACAGTCCCACAATTTGCTTGAGCGGTTCCTTCCAGAGCTCAAATGATCACGTAAGATTGTTCTAGTATACTAATACTACACGTTCTTGCCAAACAATGGTAGGAGACTGCCACTAATTCCACACTATTGTGACAGCACGAGAGCAGCAAGCAACTCTGCCTGCCCTAGTTACCTAGACGTGATTAGGCTATTGTGATGGAATGTGCAGTCACAGCATCAGAAGGGGAGTATTTTGTTAATTATTTTAGAGCCTTCCCAAAGAAGCCTGGATTAAGAGACTGCTTAGTCCTGAGGTAGACTAAATTCGCCCTAGAATCTCTCAGGATATATTTAATAGGAGAGAAGTTTATATGGTAGTCTGGTAAGTTTCTGTCCATTAGGTGCAAGCAAGTAAAGGATTGAACTCGATTGGATTTCATTATCTCAGTGCTTGAGCCTTACAGTTAAGGCAGGCAGAAATGAGAGGCATCATGAAAAAATGAGCTGCGTTGGTGCAGTGGTTAGACTGCAGTACTTTCAGGCAACTTCTGCTGACTGCTGGCTGCCTGTGATTTGGCAGTTCGAATCTCACCAGGCTCTAGGTTGGCTCAGCCTTCCATCCTTCCCAGGTGGGTAAAATGAGGACCCAGATTATTAGAGGCAATATGTTACTCTGTAAACCGCTGAGAGGGCTGTAAAGCACCGTGAAACAGTATATAAGTCTTACTGCTATTGCTATTATAAGACCCATATTTAGCTGTTATCTCCTGGTGAGGACCAGAGATGTGAAGTCATTATGACATTACCCATCAGTGATGTCATATTACAGCATCTTAAATGCAGGGGTTCTTCCTTTATAAAATTTAAATAGAGTCACCTAGACTGTTGAGAGAAGATAAAAGAGCAACTTGGACCTGGATGTTCCTTTCAAGTAGATTGCTTTTTTACATATAGATTGTCCTTTGTGGCCTATAAGTAGGTGATCCAGGTATTTCAGCAAAGGTTTTACAGAGAGAGTAATATATTTTTGAAAAATAATGCTTGTGGGGTAAAGAGGAAACCTACAATCAGTTCCTCTTTTTTTTTTTAAAGGTTTAAGAACAATAGAATTTATATATTATTTCCAATGGGGAGAGTATGAGTTACCAGACTGTTTTCTCTTAAACTCATCCAACTATATACAATCTATTGCATTTGTGTAGCTTATTCAGAGTGGTATTCCATACAGACATTCTGCTTATTGGTTAACATATGGTAATTTATATTTGGACAGTAAAGAAAATGAAAAGAAAGTTTCAAAGTAGCAGCTTGTAGGAATTTGTCTGTTTTCTACATGAATGCCTATCATTTTTAGTTATCGGGCTCATGAATGGAAGCTGTACTCCAACCCCTCTTGAAACTACTGGAGCAGGTTGGAGACGTTGCTGGGATAATAGAATGGTGGTGGTGAAAATACCGTATATACTCGAGTATAAGTCGACCCGAATATAAGCCGAGGCACCTAATTTTACCACAAAAAACTGGGAAAACTTATTGACTCGAGTATAAGCCGAGGGTGGGAAATGCAGCAGCTACTGGTAAATTTCAAAAATAAAAATAGATACCAATAAAAACTTTCTCTAGGACAGCCTGCGAGCCTAGAGCTCAGAAAACAACGCGAGCCACCACCACACCACCTCCTCCTCCTCCTCCTGAGTGGACTGAAAGCAGCTGGGGCTGAGGAAACGAAGCCAAGCGGAGCTGAAGCCACCTCGGCTCGCGTTGTTTTCTGAGCCCGCGAGCCTAGAGCCAGGGCGCTTTCATTGCACGGCGGAGCTTCTTGTCTCGGGAAACACCGGGTGTCGTTGCTGCCCCCTGAGGGGAGGGCGAATCTGGGCTGCGCGATTGGGGGACTTCGTGGCTTTGGGTGGGAGCGAGGACGGCTGGAGTCCACGAAGTGGGGCTTGCCTGCCCTTGCTGGCTGCCTCTGCTTCCTTAGGGGCGGGGAAGGGGGCTCATCTGGACCAAGGGTGAGTCTCCCCCTCAGTTTCCCCAGAAGGATCTTCCGTTGCTTTTGCCTTCTCCCTACGTCTTCCCTCTGTTAAAATCCCCCCCACACACACACTTATTTTCGGGAGGATAGATTTCGTGTCTGAGCATTCTCACATGATGGTGGGTCTTTCCCCCCCCTAAAAACAGTTAAAAAAAGAAAAAACAATATATCCTCATGCAAGAACTTTTCTGCTTCCGATTACCCCCATGCTTACAAGTTGCAAAGGAAACACGGAAGCAGGGAAGCGGCTGCCCAGCTCCAGAGCTCCACACCATTTTTTTTTCAGAGGGGAATCTGACTCGAGTATAAGCCGAGGGGGGTTTTTTTAGCACAAAAAATGGGCTGAAAAACTAGGCTTATACTCGAGTATATACAGTAATGTTTATTTCGATGTACAGTATGTGGCTATTAAATGGATTTTTGCATTAGGTCCTTTTGTTGCTGTTTGGGCATATTTCAGAGGACTCTAACTTGTGCTTAACCTAGGCAAAGCAAAGCAAGGAACTGCTGAAGTTTCCCTGTAATGTCACTGAGACGATTAACTCTCTGGGAAGTAAGTATGCATTGAAAGCACATTTCATTGTATTTGTGCTTTCAGGAGTGCACCAAACTCTCTCTCTCTCGCTTGTGAAGTTTCATCACGGTGAGAAGAATGGGTTCGGTTTCAGAGATGCTCACAGCAGTCCCCCTTCACAAGAGGCCTGATCTCCTGGAGGCCTGCGCTGACCTCATCAACGAAGAGTGGAAACGGAGCCGGACTTCCCGTATCCACTCCCTGCAAAAATCTAGTGACAACTTTCCCATGTGCCTGGTACTGATCAAAACTCTGAGGCTAACGGAGGAAACTGCAGAAGGGAAGGCGTCCAATACCCAGTGCCAACTTCTGGGACATGCCAGGTTATCCCGTGTGATTGGCCAATGTAACAGTTTATTTGTGGAGACCGTGGTGGTGGCCAAGGCCCTCCGTGGAAAGGGCTATGGCAGGAAGCTGATGGAAGCTGTTGAGAACTTTGCCAAAGCCCATGGCTACCAGCATCTGTATCTCACCACACATGACAAACAACATTTTTATGCCCACCTGGGCTATAGCTTGACCAAGCCTGTTTCGTGGGCTGGATTCATCAGTTCTCTGGTACCTATGAACTTTTTGGAGAACTTCTCTACCCCTCAAGCTAAGATGGAGCTTCCTGCCCCACCTGGGAAGCATAATACAAATGCATCTTACCAAAGTAGATGTGGAGCAAACCTCCCTCCTTCACCATGTGCTGCACCTCTTTCTTCTTCTCCTTTTTGCTCAGTAGCCCCCCCTTCATTGCCTTCTCCTTGTTCTTATCATTCAGGGACAGCTACCGTTTCTCCCTGTCCTCCATTGCCAGGTCCCCACCCATCCTCTGTGCAGTCCAATAATGGTCTGGTTCACTCTTTACCATCAGCCTCCCCATTTGCTTCTGCTGCCCCAACTCTTCTACCCTCTCCTCCTCCTCCTCCTCCCCTTCCACTTCCAGTGCCTCCACCAAGAGCCTTTTTACTAGCCCAGCCAAACTCCAGTAAACCTGCCTCTTCCAGGGTTTTGGAGAATACATTTGAAGAACAGACGCTTTTACAAACACCTTACCTGGATCTGAAAGGGCAGCCCATATTTTGGATGAAGAAGGATATCTGATTTTTCCATCGTGTGACTGTGCAATAAAGATGAAATAAAGGAATGAGGAAAAAGAAAAGCCTTTCTTGTTTTAAAAGGGAAGTCTGGCTTTGTGAGACAAAAGATCGCCATTTAAAATGAATAAAACAACGTATTTGGTTTTCTGTTGTTCTTCATTATCAGGTTCTTTTTCGTTGAAAGTTAAAGATGCTAAGACTATATGTTAGGTACACTTTGAAGGCCAGCACTTGATTCTTACTGAATTTCAGTAATTATTGCCAAAGTTGTGCTTCTGGGGCTATACCGAGCTGCCCTGTAAATTCCCTTGCTTCTCCTGTATTGCGTATCCCAATAAACAAAGCACCTTCAAAATTCTATGCAAGTTGTCCCTGCTGACTCTGCAGGGAGCATTCAAACAAACTTGTCTCTGGTGCTGATGCATAAAGAGAATAGCTTTACCATCCCCTCTGCTAGAATTTATTCCATCATAATACATGATTTAACTGTGGTTTATTGAATAAATGTGAGTTGATTTGGTTTATCAAACTTGCGAAGGGATAAAGCTAGATTTACAGCCAAAAGCAGTCAGCTTCTCACAACCATTTCAAACTCAAAGCTTATTTACATGTGTTACAGCTGTCCCACTCCGATGAACTCTGGGCAGTATACAAGACCAGAAAAAAGAATCCATAAGAACAAAACCTAAATACATACATATTTATCTCATACTTGACTTCGATGGGTGAATCATTGCCTTCATGTGAATTGAATAGGACTGAGATGGTGCTGCTTTGGTGGGGTAATAGTGGAGCAAGCTTGCTTCTTCATAAGTTTGTCCCACTCTTAACTTGGACCTCACGAATGGCATCTGCAATAAAAGCTCTTTCCCGTTAGCCGTCATGCACTTATAAAGTGATTGTGTTTAAAGTTTGGTTTGAGGCAAAAACAACTCTTTAATTATATTGACTGCCAGGACTTCTAATCTCCACAATCTGGAATTATGGGTTTTGGAAGCTTTAACCTGATGCCTTCCAAAGAGGTTAGTGTATAGGTTGCTTGATACAAATAAGGTTTATGTCAAATTACAATCAGCTAGTAAAGTTATCATGGAACATGCGTTCGTGTACCTTTTTTTATTAAAAAAAATACAGATCTGTGAAAGCTGAACTGAACACTTTTAAAATGAAGATGTAACACTTCATTCTTGGATTCTTAGTTTCTTTTAGTCTCTAATTGAGTTATTGCCTCCATTGCTTGATAACTAACCTCTACTAGATGCATGTTGAAAGTGATAGCTTCATATTGGGTCCCTGGTGAATCCACCTGCAAGATCATTGCATATTTTGCAGCCAAGTGTTAGATATATTCAGACAGTTTGTGGATATAAGTAATTTAAATACATGAAGTAATGTGATACTTCTATAACAATATTTAGACTTAACACTTGGCTTGCAATTCCAAATTTTTAAAATTACTTTTTGAAAACGAAGAGGGCAAGCCTCGTCAGGAATTTGTTCATGAAGCAGCAATGTTGATACATCTGTAAAGGAACTATTAAAGAAAACAGCAGGCACGTGCAATTTTTTGAGGGACATATAGGAAATGGTATTATTTCTTCATTGAATGTTGTACATTAATATTTCTTAATACTTGAAATGAAAAAATTCCCTTTCATACTAAAAGCTACACAGGTGACATTGTACATACAGAATTTCTCTTCACCTCTAGGTTGGATCTCTCCTTAACAAGCTTCCACCCACTACCTTGAGTTACAACCACAATTGAGCCCAAAATTTCTGTTGCTAAGTGAGACATTTGTTAAATTTGACTGATTTTATGCCCTTTCTTACCACAGTTGTCGAGTGAATCACTGCAGTTGTTAAGTTAGTAACATGATGGTTAAGTGAATCTGGCTTCCCCATTGACTTTGCTCACCAGAAGTCTGCCAACGATGATCACATGACCCTGGGACACTGCAACCGTCATAAATACGAGTCAGTTGCCAAGCATCTGAATTTTGATCATGCGACCATGGAGATGCCGCAACGGTTCTATGTGTGAAAAATGGTCATAATTCACTTTTTTCAGTGCCTTCATAATTTTGAATAGTTACTAAACAAACTGTTGTAAGTCGAGGGTTACCTGGGTTTCTCGTCCTGCCTCTAGTGCTTTGGAAAATGTCAATCCCCTCCTCTCTGGGCACTCTGGCCCCTCAAGTACTGAAAGACAGTTATCATGTCCCCTGTAATTCTCTTTGATCAGCTTGACATACCTTGCTCCATCAACCGTTCATCATATGATTTAGCCACCAGGCCCTTTATCATCTTTGATGCTCTCCTCTGTACATGCAGTACACAATGCACTATGAAGTGGCAGAGAGAATGAGATCTTTTCTACTTCACCCTGTATCTCCATTTCTCCCCATCGTGATTAGGCTGTTATAATTTGGCTGATCCATGTCTCTAAGTCAGAAATTGGGTAAAATTCCATTTTGGAAGAATCAGACTTGCTGACCTAAGCATAATGGTCTTGCAGGAGAAGGCCAAGAGACAGAAGAGGAGGGACGTGGCGGGAGTGTGGAATCGAAAGTACATTCCATTCATATTTTCTTCAAAGACTGATTAGATGACTGAAGCTTCTGCAGCGCAAAAATCTAATTGGAGAGCATGATTGATGACTCTTGGCTATGGATTTGTTTCGTTGGTCAATACACCCAGAGGGGTGGGGGTGGGGGGGGGAAAGCAGGATCAAGGGTGACAGTGAATTACGTATCTCAGAGTTGGCTACACCCAGGCAAATGCCGGAATGTTAACTTCTAATAAATCCCCTTTAGTTTTGGGAGTGTGGCTCGAGGCTCATGATTTAATTGGAGTAACTGCCGGAATCCTGACAGATACACTATTAACTTGGATAACACAATCAGGCCAGCAAGTGCCAGGCTGATACCATCCCCTGGAGATCACCTGGCAGTGCCATTGACAAAATGTTGCTGAAGGATATCAAAAATTGCTGTTGCTTGGTGGCTACTGAAGGGAGAGAACACAGATACCGGAACATCTAAAGACTTCACGATGCCTCAACTATGGGTTGGAGACAAGAGGAAGCAAGATTATGAGAACATGCTGTGGTTAACTGCAAGTGGATAAGACACAACAAGTGTGGCTTGGAGAATTATCTGAATCTTGTGTTGCTTCTTTTTTGAGCAAATGGAAAGTTGTCATCAAAAAAGGTTTTTTGTTTTTTTTTTAAGTTCCTTAAATGCAAATCACATCACAGGTAATCCCCCCTTTATGCACAGCATAAATATTTGTCTCCATATGAGCATGGACTGAACCTGGAATGCTCCACTCAGCTACCCTGGAGCATAGGTAGTACTTGAAAAAAGAAAGTCAGAACAGCATAGATTGTTGCTGCAGGAAGTAAAAAATACCTGGGTTACTTCTAAAATAAAGCATGGAACAGAAAATCATTTCCCATTGTTGCACTGTTTTATTAAAGGATAGCCAGGCTGCTTTATAAATTATTCCTATTCATAGTGCTTTCTTTCAGATTCATATAAAACTGGTGTTTTACTTGCTTTCAAGGTAAGCTTATCTGAGTTTTTTTAAGCAGTTGAAAAGAGATAGTTCTCATTAATTTTTTTTTTAAAAAAAACCTTAGTACTGCATTATAAAAGTTGGCATTGACCTCAACATATAGAACCTCAGGTTTGATATAGTTATTCTCAATCTGATGCCCTTCCCATCCAAATTACTAGTCAGAAGATTGCAACGTGCTTTTCCTCCTTTACACACACACACACACACACACACACACACACACACAAGTTGGTGAGAAGAGAAGAATAAATAGAGAATAAATAGAAGAAACTGTGAAAAGTGCCATGATTTGAAATTATTTCCTATTGCATCTTAAAATTTTGTGAGCTGAGTTATTGTAGATGAAAATATGAAAAGGACTCTTTAACTGTCATCCCACTAAGCATGGTAGATTTGCTTCTATGAAACATTTGCTGTACTGCTGTTGGAAGAAATATCCTTCTGGGTTCCAAGTGGGGAAAAAGACACCGGAAACATGGAGGCTGTTTGGAAGGTTTAATGGTGGACAGGAGGACCACATGGTCTGGAGCTCCAGAATGAAAAGGAAGGATGATCACATGCTTCAAGGTGAAGGAAGAGATCAAGAAGGGCCAGCCAAGATGCTGAGAGACCCTTATATACCCTCTGTTGGGCCCTACTTTAGTGTTTCCTGTTCCTGTGCAAGAAATGTATCCCATTGGCTGTCAGACTCCCAGGGCTGGGGGTCTTTGTAGGTTTTTCTGAGTTCCAGGCTTGGTTGAGCCTTGCTGGATGATGATGCACTGAAAGGGTTCTTGGGCAATTGCTATACCTTTACCTGGAGATCTTTGTTATGTAAAGTATTCTGGCCCAGGCCTTAATGGCCCACCCATTAACAAAGGTGGGGGTGAGCTTCTGCCTCTCTGAGTTTCTACTTTACTCTTTTTAGGGGAAATATTCTGCCTTTTTAATATTTCCCAGGATATTTCATTTTTCTAGGAGAGGGGTAGGTGCTAACGTCCTACACTGCCCAGCTGTTAGTGCTGTTTTTTTTTTCTAGTGGCAACTTGGCTTTTACCTGTAATCACATGTAAAAAGAGTGCTTTTTTCAGATTTAGCCAACAGAATTACTTAAGTAGTACAATTTGCTGAACATTAGAACAGTGCAAATAATAATCTGCTCTTAAAAATTGACTTATGTAAAGGAATGCCTAAAACATATTTTCATCATTAGTTTAAACATTAGAAAACAATGTTTGTGCTTTAAAGTTCTTCAGACCTTTCCATCAGACAGAGGAGACAACCACAAATGAAAGGTTAAGTAATATTTATTATGTGACCTACTGAATTTTGTACTTGGTCTGTGCTGAAACACCGGAGAAGGGAGTTGCAAATGACCAAAAGAAATGGTCCAAAGAAAGGAGTCTTGGGCCAAAAATTAAAGGTTATGTAGGGAGGATCTTTGCTCTCAGGTTTTTTTGTGCCTGTTTTTCCTAAGAAGTTGGTAAAGCCAAAGGGCAGGAGGAGGATGAAAAGTGGGGTTGCTGAAATTGCCATTTGCATTTAAAAACAGTCCTAAACTGAAATG